TCCAAATGCATTTGGATATAATTCATTTCATTTTGTGTAGGTAAGGGGCACTGTTGAACAACCGGTGGTGGATGGATCTGCCTATTTTCACAGGGCAACTGTGTCATCACCTGTTCTCAGGAAACCCATAACCAATTTCGGAGGAACTGTTCTTGTGAATTCGAATAGGCTGCGGATTGGGTCGTTGGAAGGTAGAGTGAGCAGAAAGGGAAAATTGTCTATGAGAGGGAATTTGCCTCTCCGGGTGAATGAAACGTCCCTTGGTGATAAAATTGACTTGAAATGTGAGGTTCTTGAAGTTCGTGCACGGAATATTTTGAGGTACTTCACATTCTTAAATAAAAAAAATAAAATTCAAAATTAAGGGCACCTGATTCTTGGGCTTCAGTTATTTTTCGATTTTTTTTGTTGTGTGTGTGTGTGTGCGCGCATTTCCTTTGTCAGATATTTTCGTTGAGATCCTGAAAAAATGTTGTTATCAAAGTGGTCAGGTTGATTCTCAGTTGCAAATTAGTGGATCTATTATGCAACCCAACATATCTGGAAAAATCAAGGTTAGCCAAGGAGAAGCTTATTTACCCCACGATAAGGGCAGTGGAGCTGCTCCCTTCATCAGAGACACAACAAACAAACCAAGTTTACCCGCTGGCAGTTATGGTCGCATGGTTGCCTCAAAGTATGTTTCACGTTTTCTCAATCTAATACCAGGGGCATCCAATAACCCATTCCACCAATCACCTGGTGAGTTTGAGTATATATAAGAAACTGAAGTTTGCTTTCTTTATTTAAAGATGATGTTATTTTCTATGTTTTCGATTTCTTTGGACACAGGGTTTCAAATAATTCATGAATTTTTGGGCGTAATTCCATGTTGTAACAGTTTTATGCATCATACATGACTGATAATGGGCGTTCCAAAAGCATGTTATTCGTAATTGTTGAAATCCATAATGCTAAGACCTATGATCGTTTGCAGATGAACCAGATGAAGTTGAAAAGCAGACGGTGCTGGTAAATAGCAAGCCGAAGCTAGATATCCGCCTAACAGACCTAAAGGTTGCTCTAGGGCCCGAACTAAGGATAGTTTATCCTTTGATACTCAATTTTGCTGTTAGTGGAGAGCTCGAGTTAAACGGCCCCGCTCATCCCAAATGGATAAAACCTAAAGGCATTCTAATGTTTGAGAATGGTGATGTCAATCTCGTTGCGACACAGGTAATTATTATTATTATTATTATTATTATTATTATTATTGTTGTTGTTGTTGTTGTTGTTGTTGGTCTGTTGCCTGTAGGTTGTGACTATGGTTTCTTTTTCTCATTATATAATTCTCTGTTGCTTTAATATGTTCTCTGTTCTTGAATCTTGGTTATAAATCTAGGTGAGGCTGAAGCGGGAACATTTAAACATAGCAAAATTTGAGCCTGAGAATGGACTTGACCCAATGCTGGATTTAGCACTGGTAGGATCGGAATGGCAATTCAGAATTCAAAGTCGAGCTAGCAAGTGGCAAGAAAAGTTGGTGGTGACCTCAACACGTTCGGTGGAACAAGATGTTCTTTCGACTACTGAGGTTAATATGTGGACTAACTTGGCATACACTTTGGGTTTATTACAAAATCTACCCTCGAGAACCTAATTAAAAAAAATAAAAAATGAATAAATAAATAAAAACATTCCACACATGCCTCGTTAAGGTTTTACGATCAAGCAAGCACCCCATTGGGGTTTACATTTTCTTAAAAATTATCCCTTAATAGAAAAAAAAAATTGTTAGCATTTGAGAATTTCCCACGTGGTTTTCGACCAAAAACAGGCAGCTCGAGTCTTTGAGAGCCAGTTGGCGGAGTCAATATTGGAAGGTGATGGCCAGCTGGCGTTTAAGAAGCTTGCCACGGCAACACTCGAGACGCTAATGCCGAGGATAGAGGGGAAGGGGGAATTCGGGCACGCCAGGTGGAGGCTGGTCTATTCCCCCCAGATCCCAACCTTACTTACTATGGACCCCACAGTCGACCCTCTCAAGTCCCTCGCCAGTAACATCTCGTTTGGGACCGAAGTTGAGGTCCAGCTGGGGAAGCGCCTTCAGGTTTTTCTCCCCTTTCTCCCGAAACAATCTCACGCCTGCTAAATTTCAACACAAAAATAATCACATGTATTCTGTCAAAAAATTACAAACTTCTTCTTATCATATATATATAAATATATATTTATATATTGTTTTTAATTTTTTTTTAAAAAAAATTTTCAACGTATATAATTTTGGGAGTGGGCTTTTATGGTTTCAGGCTTCTGTAGTTAGGCAGATGAAGGATTCGGAGATGGCTATGCAGTGGAGTTTGATCTATCAGCTCACGAGTCGTCTGCGTGTGCTCCTTCAGTCGTCTCCGTCTAAACGTCTCATATTCGAATACTCAACAGCTTCACAGGATTAGTTTGGAGGATATGATATATTGCGTAGAATTTTATTTTGGGAGTTAAAATTGGTTTTTGAAGCCCCCTAATCTAATTCTAAGTGTCATGTTTGTTTGCCTCCCAAAGTGTAATGATGTTTGGGGTTAATATAAATGTACATAGCATTCGATTCTTTTACTACAAGGGCATCTTTATATAATACAGGTTATGTATATACAGGTTTTATTATTGTGATTCTAAGTAGAACTTTATATAATACGCATTTCTAAAATACAACACAAAAGAAGAAAGAACAAAAAACTGAGGATTAAGTAAAAGAAACATGAAAAAGCTTCCACAATTCAGTGGGTATGGTCATGTCGTTATGGTTACAATAGGTAGTAGTTGTTATTCTCAAATAAATATTTAAAAGAAAAAACTTAGTACAAATAATCATAGCATTTTCTAAAAAAAAAAAAAAAAATTATTTTTTATGACTTACTTCTGTTAACGCTGTATTACTTCCATTTACAAATAAGTTCTGTTCTAGAAACATTCGAGGACTAAAATATTCTTCTATATATGTAATTAATTACAAAATAATAAATAGTTATTAACAAAAAGTTCCTCGTAAAAAGATGCTAAGTGGTCCTGGCGCTTGGACGGAGTGGCGGGCGGCCGAGTCCCGGGATTTTTCGCTTTGACGGTCCTTTGGCCTTTTTTAAGATGCGGGCTGTGGTTTTAATTTCTCCGATTGGGGGTTTGTGGTGGAGGGTTTCGACCCTTTTACCATGGTCCTGTTCGGCTGGGCGGAGGAGATTACCAGCGTCGTGGGCTGAGGGCTAGTGTTCTGTTGTCGGGAGCTGGTCGTTGGTGTCGGGCCGAGTGGTTGTGGGTGCAAAGGTATCTAGGTGTGTGTGAGGATGTTTATTAGAATTGGAGTTGGGCCTATTGGTGTTGGACTCAATTAGACGTTCTCTTGCAGTTCTAGATCGGATTAATGGGTTGTGACTATTTGGATATCTGGTGGTGTCGCCGTCATTTCGCTTGGTGTGAATTTCTGTGGCAAAAAGGGTTGATGTAATTGTAGTTATGTGTTTTTGTGTTTTCCT